TGGCTTTTGAGTCGCCTGCAAATGGCGGGTGGCGGCTACAGGAGGGGGCTGCCAAGCCAGGAATGGTGTGGTGGGGGGAGACACGGAGAAAAGGTGCACTCAGGGCACAATCAGATGGAAGGATCGAATCAAAATACCAGGGTGCGGAGGGCGGGGCCGAGCCAGCGCCGGAATCAAAGGGGAGGATGGAAAGGGGCAACAGGATTAGCGTAGTGAGAGGCGCGGGGAAAGGGCGCGGGCGGGAATTTAGTCAGTACCAGTCTCAATTGAGAATGAAAGGTGCGGGCGGGCGCTGCGGAGCGCCCCCGCGGGGGCGGCCCATGGGAAAATGGGCGGGACGGGAAAGAATGGAGGGCTCTCTTGGCGTGTGTGTGGTGCAGTGGCTGGGGAGGGGAGCTCGCGCTCTTTGGAGAGGGAGTTGCCAAGCGCACTTGGGCGCGCCTGGCGGGCCCTGCAGCCGCCAGCTCAGCAGTGCTGACGCAGCAGGTCCAGCAGGCCTGCCCGCAGCACAGAGTTGGGGCTGAGCACCTTGTGGGGCAGCGGCAGCTGGGTGGTGGGCGACACATCCCTGCAAGAAAGCACGGCGCGATGGGTGGGTGGGTGGGGGGCTCAAGACGGGCGGGCACAGGCACAGGCAGCGTGGCGGCGCTCGCGGCGCGTATGCACACGTCAAGCAAGTGCCGGGTGCCAGGGCAGGGCCGGCCACGGCTGCCGCATGCTCGCGTCGAGGCTCGGGGCAGGGAGCGAAGGCCAGGGCAGGTAGCGCGGTGCAGGGCAGGGCAGGCAGCTTGCCGCTCACTTGTATGCCATCCACTCGGCGATTGCCTGCCGCTCATAGGTCACGCCGTCTGCTGCCAACACGGGGTCAGACATGAGCTGGCGGGTGAGCGGGCAGTAGAAGTGGTGGGGCAGGCTGCCGTTGAGCGCGGCCGCGCCGCCGCCGGCGTGCATCGGCGGCAGGCCGTGGTGGGCGCCGGGGCTGGGCGGCGCGAGGGGCGCGGGCCCGCGGCCGCCCGCCTGCGCCGCCAGCTGGCCCAGCGCGGCCGCCAGGGTGTGGGCCTGGCTGTGCTGCGCCTGCTGGGCCTGGTGCTGGGGCAAGTGGTGGTGGGGGTGCATCGTGGGCAGGCCGCGAGGCGCGTCTGGTGACAGCGGGGCACCGCCAGACGGGCAGGGGCTGAGCATGGGTGTGCTGCACCCCAGCGCGCCGCAGCCCGCCGGGCCCAGGCTCTGCCCGGCCAGCATGCTGCTCAGGCGGCTGATCTGGTGTGACGGGCTGGCGGCGGCGGCCGAGACAGCGGGCGCAGGGGGC